CCTCAGCTTCAGGGCTAGCCTCGGTGCCAGACTATTGCCAAGGCCAGTATACAGGCTAGCTCCTCGACTCCAGTACCAACATTTCCCCAAGGAAAGTTTTACCACAGTTCCTCTCATTTGCTCCAAGCAACCTACGCGAGAGATACATTGTAATATTTTTATGGACCCCAAGTGCCAACTCCGGGATCAGACCGGCCTAAGAGTTTTCTTGTATCGTTCTGGGGTCTGCATCCAGGCTACTCAGAGTAGCCTGGTGTCCAGCCTTGTTAGCTCTAGTCCGCTCCCCAAGATCCACTCCCCGCCAACTGTTGGATCTTGGGGAGCAGACAAAAGCTAACAAGGCTGAACACCAGGCTAACTCCAGAGGTCGGCCAACACGAGTACTAGTACGTGTTTCCTTCCGACCGAGCCGAGTCTTGAAACCCGCTCGGAGACCCAAGACCCATATTGAATGGCAGTCGTAATTGAAAAATATTAGAACTAGTTGGCGAGGGGCCTGGGTAATTAAGACGGCATCTGGCCTTTTTGACGGAAAGCAGGTTGCTGTGGGAGTTATGGCTAGCTTTGTGGTGCCGAGTTATAGTGATAAACTGGTGAACGTACCAACCACTAAGGCTCAGTTTATACCAACTACTAGTACGAAGTATCTAATTGTGGTACAGTTGTTGTTGGCATCCTTCGGTCTCTAATGCATGCAAGCTCAGAAAAGAACAAGAAACAGTCAACCAAGAATGGAGGTGTTCAAAAACTCGTATTTTCCAACAAGTATCGTGTAGTGGAACTCGAACTATTCGGTGTAACAGGTAACTCGGTGTAATATAGCTAGCTGCCGCCACGCCGCCATACAAGTTCCTTGACCAATCAATGCCTGACATGCCTAAAAGTTAACTTACAAAAGCCGAAGTAATATACTGTCACAGTGGCGAGCTAAACCGTCTAGAGTTCCGAACTGTCATCGAAATGTGCCAAATGAAGCAATGCTTATTTTTACCGCAAAGTTTTTGGAAACTGTTTCAGACACTAGTGTTTCGTCCGGAACGTTTTATTCAGCCTCCCGGCGGGTGGGAGTTTTGATACTGCGTTTTGTAGCATTCTTAACGCGTTCTTTTGCCGGCCATCCTACAACCAGCCGCCCAGAGAAGGTTTGTACCCGCCACGGATTTTTCTTCCCGAATGGAAACAAGCTCCAAATCTTCTCTGGGCGGCTGGTTGTAGGATGGCCGGCAAAAAAAAAGAACGCGTGAAAAATCCTACAAAACGCAAGCGGAGGCCTGCACGCGAGGCTACGTTTTATTCACACGATAAACCCGTTGAGATCTGATCAAATTTCTTTCTTTCCCCCTTTTCTTTCACCGGAAATACTGACGGTTGAAATACGTCAACCACATGACACGGGACATCTGTCTAACCTAAGGGATCGCTCATCAAAGAGTGTTGGAGTAAATCAAGCTTAAAACGAGCCTTTAGGAATACGTAGATAAATAAATAAGAGCGCGTTAACACATGAAAGACTTGTAACGTTGATTAATTAGACAAATAAACAAACGTTTATCTATTTATTTTTCTGTCAAGTTCCGACGTTTCGTACTTCAGTTGTGAGTCAATATCTTTAGTGTCTTCGGTTAGTCTCCTGTACTGTGTACAGACTTCTAGAGACGAATGTGAGGAGAAGAACTCATTGTTCCCCGTCTACTAGGTGCTTGAGTGGCGTTTTAAGACGCCGCTTCGGCTACGATTAATTAATAGAGAATTTTTAAATAATGAATGAATGAATGAATGAATGACGACCTTTATTGCACGTTTTTGCCACACTGGGCTATCATTACATAAATTCAACTTCTCGCTTTTCAGTTATAGTAGAGATAAAGGAACAGATATGTTTTTCGATGGAAGGTTTGTCAAGTCGCATTAGGAATATGAATTTTTCTACAGTGCTCAAGTGTATGAAGTAAGGGAATAGGTTTTGTACAAGCCTATACAGATCATTTCTCTCTTTACTATATTAATCCATATTCTATAAGAAAGTGACATTCGTCCTCTATTCTATTCAAATTACAACATGTACATAACCTTTGTTCCAGAGGGGTGTGGGTATGTCTTCCAGTTTCAATTTTTAGATAAGAGATGGCTGTCTGGAATGGCTAAAAGGCATGCAGACCCTCTAGAAGCAACCACAGTCCCCGACTGTCGAGATGAGGATGGGACGACGAGGTGAAGGTGAATCATAGAAATGACCTCGGCGGCGCCAGAAACCTTTTAAACTGAACACGTCCCCCAACCAACAAAGCTTCCGACGACCCAAAGCTCCTTTTAAATTTAAAATTTAGGACGGTTTTCCAGAGCTGATTCTTCGCAGACGACGGCACGAGATGGGGAGATAGCAGACCGGCGACAGAACTGACACGGTGTTTACAGAACCGTCAAGTGGTCTTGTTCGTCCCACGCGATGTACACTAGCCTGGTGTCCAGTATCGTGGTTGGGACGGGTTCTCTTCGGGGTTGAACTAAACTCTTTCCCGCCCGACTCAGCTAGGTTGCCCGGTTGGTTTTGCACGACGGGATTTAAGTGGTGGGGCTAATCAACTCCTGGTTTGCAAAATTACAGGTGTAACACTCCTACCGGGCGGTCTGTTGAGCTGGACGGGGGGAAGCTATTAGAGCCCCGAAGACAGTCTGCCTCAACCACGGTAGACTGGATACCAGGCTAGACGGGTTATAGGAAGTGCATGTTTGGACCATAGCGTGGATAATATAGGATGTAGGTAGGACTGGTGTGATACGATAAAGAATGGAGGGGAGGGGGTGCATATTTTGCATACGTTAGATATTTTCAGTAGCCATGGAGATAAAAGAAATGCTTTTCTGGTTGAAAATGACAAAAACTTCTCAGGGGGTCCTACCCAATCTCGTAATCGTAAAAATCTATAAAAGATTCTTCGATCTGAATCCAGATCCTCCCATCTCTTTAATATAAGCAACATGATATACAGTATTGCTTAGGCCGATGCCTTCTAAAACTGCAACGTTATTGGATGAGTTTTAAGACAATCAATGCCGATGAGGAGATTTGGATATATGTATATACATATGTACTGCCATGAATACATACATGCCTGGGTGCCATCTCCGTATAGTTTCCCTAATGCGACTTTAGGGAGCCGGCGGAAAGTACGGAGAATGGCACCCAGGGTAATGAATACACGTTCAGGTAGCTGTTCTTTGCAATTACTTGTAAAGTTGTGAGTCCTTTCCTGCTCCGGGATTTTTTACGACTGACTCATGGTTATTCTAGCCTCCTTCGCAGTCTTATTGGGCATCGGCATTATTTTTTCTCTGAGCGACGCGAGTAATATGCGGCCGCGAGGGACGATTTGCTGCCGAGGGAGTTTTTGCCACGGAGAGAAGGTTTCGCGCTCGAGAAAAATAACGCCGACGCCCAACAAGACTGCGAAGGAGGCTAGTACATGGACCAGTGCAGGATAGGTGCAGGTAGACATCAGAAATACCTGCACAGCTCCAATTTTACCTGCACTAACCTGCATATACCCAGTACATGGACCAGTGCAGGTTAGGTGCAGGTAGACATCAGAAATACCTGCACAGCTCCAATTTTACCTGCACTAACCTGCATATACCCAGTACATGGACCAGTACAGGTTAGGTGCAGGTAGACGTCAGAAATACCTGCACAGCTCCAATTTTACCTGCACTAACCTGCATATACCCAGTACATGGACCAGTACAGGTTAGGTGCAGGTAGACATCAGAAATACCTGCACAGCTCCAATTTTACCTGTACTAACCTGCATATACCCAGTACATGGACCAGTGCAGGTTAGGTGCAGGTAGACATCAGAAATACCTGCTCTAACTCGCATATACAGGTGATA